AATTAATGAACCAGTGTGCAACAGCGGCACCTACTGGCCAGGTGTCACATGGCAGCCCACCTCTATTACACCGTGGTAGTCAAAAAAGGAAAAAAGTTGCCTAGGTCGTGCTATAATCTTCAATATTCCTGAACTCAGTGAGTTCCGAGCGCTAGGATCCTGGTGTTTAATGAATGTTACTGTTACCGTCTTTGTCTAGATGTCCTCCCAAAGCCTGATGCAGTCGTGGAGGCGGGTTCTAGACTTTGTAATTGATTCATGGTCCAATACTGGCATTATGGGTGTGAATGCTGCACCTATCCTGGGGCAGGTAGCCCGCATACAGTACAAGGCAGGGAGAGAGGCTTGCTTTCTCTGCGCTTCCCATTTTACTCTTACGGCTTTTGCTGTTTTCCACTGCCATGAACTGCTGCCTGCTGCCACGTGCCACCCTGCCTTGGTGCCAACCAAGTATGGACTAAAGCCTCCACAAACTGCGAGCTAAATAAACCTCTCCTTCCTTGCTTTGGGAGTCAGATTGTGTGTGTGTGTGTGTGTGTGTGTGTGTGTGTGCGCATGCGTGCAAGTGCAACAAGAGAAAAGTAACCAAGACAGTTACTAACTTTAGGATTTCAGCTAAAATATCTCAGTATCCTTGAACCAGAATATTAATGAAAAGAAACTGGAATTTCTTAAGAAAGATGTATTCAGAAATAGAGAATGACCTTTGGAACTTGACAGAGGGTGGAGCATCACCTTCCTGGAAATGTTGAGACCCTTGCTGAAGTGTGGCAAGAGGAATATCATTTGTTTTCTTGTTTATTTAATATATATGTATGTATAATTTCTTCATGTGACTCTCTTTAATGTTTCCTACATATTAACTGTTCTATATGCATAAAAGCCCGATACATCGGTACTGATGTTACAATCTTTGCTTTCCTCAGTGAGAAATCTTGGGAAATGTTTTCTATGCAGTTACTGAATAAGTTGGGAATGGGAGGTTGCAGCAGCCTTTGCTACACCCTTCCTGCCCTTACATTTCTTAGCTATGGCATTGACTTTGGTAAAATTATTTCTCTAAGACATAGGCCTCAGGATAAAAAATGGGGATGAAATATCTTATAACATTATCATGAATAGTCCATTTTTTTGTATTTTAATAGAGGGTCTCACTACACAGAAAAAGTCAATATTTTTTACTATCTCTTTAAGTTTTGTATACCACCCATGACTAGAGCTTGATCAATAATGTGAATGAATGAGTCATACCAGCTATACATGAACATGTTGCAAAACATAGGTTCTCAAAGTGTCAGTGAATGTATGAAAGTTTTTTGTTTCATAGACTTATTGATAATGAAAGAGAAAATAAGGCAAATTTAAGAACAGCTAACATACTTGAAAAATAACATTCTAGATAGGTAAAATTCCCATAAGCTGGTGATGCAACTATTCTATGTAAAATAACATTTGTTTCTCTCAGCTTTTAAAGTATGTATTTGGTTCAATCTTCTCCATTCATTTTATGGAAAGCCCTTGGCCAATTACCAGTGGAAGGTGACTATTATATGTCGTGATTCAGAAAGCTATGTGCCTCATGCTAATAATTACTCTTTATAAAGTAATTCTTAGCGAATGGATATGTTTTGCTTTTATGGTCAGTGAGGCTCGACACAAGCCTGGGAATGAAAATGTATTAGACAGGAGGACAATTAATGATGACTTGCAGCAGTAATTTCAGAACCTCAGCAGGAGACAGCGGCATCTAAACTGCGGTCTAGGGAAGTGAAGGAAATGGAACCTTTTATATCTTCTCCTTAGGATCACAGCACATTTGTACACAATGTATCTTTAAAAAATAGAGCAAGCTTGCCTTCCCTTCCTTGGTCCCTTGCTACTTGCTTCTGTCTCTTATTATACTGCCTTCATTCTCTTAAAAATTTCTAGCATTCTTAAAAACCCAAATCAAGCCACCAAGCCAGGAAAATCCAGTGGGCTGATCCAGTGGAACAACCACTGGATTAGCAGACAAGGAACTATAGTTCTGATCTTGTCTTTGTGAATAACCTTCAGGATGACCCTAAAACAATGGTTTCACTTTTCTGGTTTCAGATTCTAATCTGGCAGGCGAGGAGACTGTGAAGATTCCTGCACATATTTGCCTTTTAGAGGATTTTGTCTCTGTCTAAAATCATGCTCAGAGTAGCCTTGGTAAATAGTTTTTCCTGATACTTTTATGATCTCATTATTCAGTTCCATATCACTTCCTCCCCAAAAGCTGCCTCTGCAAACGTAACACACACACACACAGAGAGAGAGAGAGAGAGAGAGAGAGAGAGAGAGAGAGAGAGAGAGAGAGAGCGAAGAATGAGAGTGTACCTGGCGGCGCCACCATCCGCTGCCACTTCTGAAACAAGCAGGTCTTGAGGCAGTCTCGGGGACTGAGATTGTAGGTTTTGTGTCTTGACATCAGCTCCTGCATTGGCTCCAGTATTACACACAACTGCAAGAAGTCCAAAGACAGGGGTGCTCTGAAGCTGGCTGATATTCATTACAATAAATGATGCTCACAGCTGGAATCAATGAGATGGCTTACGGGCACTTTTCATTCTTTCTCTGGTTTTGAGTTCTGTGTGTAAGTTTTTGGGGAAAAGAAATGTCACCAACACTTGGTTATACCCATCTAATTTGGCATTGTTAATAATGATATAACAGCTGAATATCATTTACATACACTAATGCATATGCTTTTTCTGTACAGACTATAGGTTAGATATATGTAGTTCTATTATAAATTCAAATGATTCCGTTCTGTGGAGCGCAGCACGCTCCCATTTCTTCTCTGGCTTCTGGCTGTTGTTCTTGTTTGTATAACCACACACTGTGAGTTACAATACTCACTTATGCAGATTATCTGGCAGTGAAATCTATCTTTTAAACTTTGGAGAACAGAGTGACAAGTACAGGTGCCCTTGGATCTCAAGTTTTCTAAAGGCAGATGATGAATGGCATTTGATTCTTATTCATGAGCTCATTTGTACTTTCCGCGGGACGATAATGCAAGTTACATGTGCCACAGTCGTCCGACCGGGGGGG